GTATAACAGGTGAATCTAATAGGGAGGAAAGCCAAGGTGGCAAATGGCAAGAGGGAAACTTGATGCTGTCTGAAGCCTGGGTGAAAGCTGGTTTGAAATGTGTCTTTGGACTATAAGGCAGTTAATTCTCTCCTGTAACTTATTTTAACTCAGATTTTTTGCTTCTGACAAGAGAAACCATTATCTATTGCGTCAACATAGACCAGATAACTGGCAGTAACATATACCTTAATCAATTTTTAAAAGCTCACTGAACTCAGTATTACATGAGTAATTTTTCAAAAAGCATACTAAATGATTTAGACTCCATTTCTCTTTCTTTCTGAATGCATTTTTGTATAAAATATAATCACCATAAATTTATACAAATAAATACTCAAACAGTAAAAATGAGAAGAAAAAAATAAAGAGATCAATGAAAACAGAAACAAAAACAAGAAAGAGACCCAATAATAAACAAAAACATGGTACATGAATCAATTCAGTGGAGAACGAGAACTATTCAACAAATGATGCTGAGACATTTGACTACCTGCAAAAATAGTAGCATGAGGTTCTACCCCAAAATATATTCTAATTGTAAAGTCAAATGTTAAAAAAAGAAAGGAAGAGAAGAAGAGGAGAGAATGAAAACCATAAAAGAACAAAAGGGGGCTGGGCACGGTGGCTCACGCCTCTAATCCCAGCACTTTAGGAGGCTGAGGCGTGCAGATCACAAGGTCAGGAGTTTGAGGCCAGCCTGGTCAATATGGTGAAACCCCATCTCTACTGAAAATATTAAAAAAAAAAAAAAAAAAAATTAGCCAGGCATGGTAGCACATGCCTGTAGACCCAGCTACTAGGGAGGCTGAGGCAGAAAAATTACTTGAACCCAGGAGGCAGAGGTTGCGGTGAGCCGAGATCACACCACTGCACTCCAGCCTGGGATACAGAGCAAGACTCCATTTCAAAAAAACACAGAGCAAGAGGGAAATACAGAGAAATATCTAAGGAAAGGACTTCCTAAGCAAAATACCAAAGACAGAAAAGGAAAAGACTGATTGACAGATGTTGAAAGAATTGCCTTCATAAAAATTAAGAAAATTCATACCTCAAAAAATGTCAGCAACAAAATTAAAAGCTAATGGTAAAGTGGGAAATGTATTTCCAATATACATGACAAGTTATGAGTTACTATTTCTAATATATACAGAACACATGAATCTATTAGAAAAAGACAAATATATATATTTTTTCAAAATAAAAATATATATACATACAAATCTAATAAGCAAAAATTGATTGCTTGTTACTATAGAACTTTTGGGAAAAGAGCTGATTAATAAAATGGATACTTGCACAAAATCATAAAAGAAGCTATGTGTGAGTATTCTGAAGAAATATAATATACACATAAAACTCTAACTCATGATACAATAGAGATTTAAATGTCATTATGACAAATGCCCCAAATTTACATAAAACCTCAAAAATTAATGGAATCCAAGCTACTAGTAGGTAGTCAATAATTCTTCTAATAATATATGCCTCTTTACTCGTTGTTTACTAAGATTGGGATTCAACGGTATGGCAGGAGTGACATGAAAATTAATGATTTTATCTATACCTTGATTAACATTTTATAATTTTATGAGTTCAGGTCTGAACAGAAGTAAGGATGATTTTCCGCTAGGGAAATCAAATTTAAATGGCAATAGTAAAACCAAACAAAATGGAACAATTTCTATTTGTTTCTGGCTAACTCAATAGTCATGTGTCAAATTATTTATTTTCAAAATATTACCTAAAGATATACAGTATTTCTGCAATGATCTGATACTCAGTACAGAACAACTATTTTAAAAGAGCCTGACTTAGCTTTCAGCTAGGTCTTTCAGAACCTTTCTTCTTTGCTTAGTACCAAGTATATTTTACATATTAACTGTGTAAGGTCCACCTGTAACAAAGTCATTCACATACATTCAGATGTGCTGGATTCTAAATTTTTTAAAATGTATGTTTAGAAAGATTATCTACTATAAACAAACGTGCAAACACAAACAAATAAAACTTTAGAACATATAACCTAATTAGGTACTAGAACAAAAGGTAAATTTAATGTTAACTTTATATGCTTCACTCAAAAGAAAAATGTGAGTCTGACTTTTATTTGTCCCACTGTTGTTTCCAGTCCAAATAGTATTTCTCTAAAGCTAAAGACACTTTAGCAATATGATATCCTTCCTGAGAACAATGGATCAAAACATGAGGACTATCCTTAGAAAATTGTCATGACCAGTCTTCATACTGTTTTTCTTAAAGGTTCACCTCCCACCCAAACCAATACTCCTCTGAGAGTAAAGCCAAATCACAATGTATGACTGTATATATTATGTACTCTCCTTGGCCATGCCTGCTGTTTATAGCTATTGTAAGAAGTGCAGTTTCCATGAGGGAAGAAAAGAAACCTAAGAGAACGTAATATATGCAACAATAAATGGATTAAAATTATTTTTTTCAAACAGGTTGAATTTCTTTCCCAAAATAATTAAGCACTAATATATTCACATATGGTTTAGTAGAGAACCTCAGTGCCTCATTTACTATCCACGAGGCAGATACAGAAACATCTTGCATCTTGCTTTGCAGGGCTAAGTTAGCGTAAAGGTGTGCAACACAACTAATACTCTTCACCAAACTGGGTACACTGTACCACTTAGCAAAATATATTCTGAATTCTACCCTATTTAAGGAAAAAAAAAAAAAAGGCAGGAGAGGTCAAACAAATAAATAAAGTAATATTAGATTCACAACAATTTAAGTGAAAAGGTACTACAGTACCTAACATCCTATATATACTAAGAGTCAGACTTCCTAGAACAAAGACTTTGACCAGCCTAATACAGGTAACATTTTGTCTCCTGATGAGATTAGCCAAGATTAACCATGTTGTTATTCAATGATCAAAGTTTAATTCATTAAAATATTTTTTAAAAGAAAGAAAGAAAAAGACAACCCATGGGATGAGAGGAAATATTTGCAAATTATATATCTGATAAGGATCTCATATTCAGAATACATAAAGAACTCCAACTCACCAATAAGATGACAACCTAATTTTAAAATGGGCAAAAGATCTGAGTAGATGTTTCTCAAAAGAAAATATACAAATGGCCAACAAGCACATAAAAGAAAGCTCAGTACTATTAGTCATTAGGGTAATACAAATCAAAACCCCAATAAGATACTACTTCACACACCCAATAGGATATTTATTTTTTAAAACATTAAAAATAACAAGTGTTGGTGACAATCTAGAGCAATAAGAACCTTTATAGATTACTAGTGAGGCTGTCCAATGATGGAGCTGCTTGGGAAAACAGTTTGGCTGCTCCTCAAAAAGTTAAATATAAAGTTACCACAGGACCCAGCAATTCCACTCCTAGGTAGTTACCCAAGCCAAATAAATACACACACCCACACAAAAAACTGTTCACAAATATTCACAGCAGCATTATTCATAACAGCCAAAATATGAACACAACCCAAATCCATTAACTGATGAAAGAAAAAATAAAATATGGCATAGTCATATAATATCGAAAGAAATGCTGCAACATGGATTAACCTTGAAAACTTTATGTTAAGTGTAAAGGGTGGTCACAAAAGGCCACATAATATGTGACTCCACTTACATGAAACATATAGAATAGGAAAATCTATAGACAGAAAGTAGATTAGTGGTTGCCAGGAACTAGGGGGAGGGAAAAAGTGACTGTTAATGGGTATGGGGTTTCTTTCTGTGATGATGAAAAGATTCTGAAATTAGGTAATGGTGACGGTTGTACAACTCTGTGAATACACCAAAACCCACTGAATTGTACACTGTAAAAGAGTGAATTTTATGACACATGAACAGTATCTCAATAAAACTATTATTTAAAAAAGAGAAAAATGAATAAACTGAAAAGCATAATTTTCAATCAGGATGTAAATATTTTCAGTGAATTAATAACACCATGAATATGTCTTCAAAAAAATCATGAATGGAAGGTCTTCTTTGAGAATCTCAAAGTTGATACTATCATGGGGAAAAAAGTTTGGTAAACAGCTTAATCCAAGAAAGTTTCAGGATAAAGCCACAGGTGCCTCTGGCTTCTAGGAAGCTTTTTCCAAAATACAAGATGTTTTTGAGAAGGACTGAAATAAACTAAAACATGCTGCGAATTTCTGCACGTTTCTTCATCCCCGTCCACATTTCTGTTCTAGCCTATTAGATTTGAATCATGAAGCCAAAAGCATGAGACCCAAGCCCCTTTATACACTAATGGCCCAGATTAAATAAATACTAAATGTCAGAATTAACATTAGAACGTTACAATTACAGGTGCAGGGGCCTCAAACGATTATTTCACTCCCCTCTCAATCCATTTCAGTTAGGCTCACAAATTCCAGAAATGCAAGTTTTCTTATTCTTTTAAATTTTAAGGGAAAAGATAAAATACCTCTTTTAGAAATGTCTATTGCTTTTTAAAAAAAAAACTTAAACTACCACACCAACTAAAATGAATAGCAATGTCAAGCTGGCTCAGTCAAATAAATAATGGAAAAGCATCAGGTCTATTGTCATTATATGCCTTACCCAACATCATCATAGCTTCAAACAACAACTAAACACACTACTACTGATAGAAAAGCATATTTTTAAAACTTTCAAAAATAACTTTACTATATACAAATTCAGCTGACAGGTATCAAACTTAAATCTAATGCTACAATATCAACAGAACAATCTTACAGCTGTCCTCTCAGGCCTATGGTACGTCAACTGGATAGGGCCTTAATTCTTATGAATTTCCTTTATAGTATCACCTGGATATAACACAGTCATTATTTCTATCTTTCTAGGACTAACAAAGGACTGAATTCTAGCAAACTGAGCCAATGGTTTTAGAAGTGCTGACGGCGCAGAATTCTGGTGTGTGTGGATGAGGGACTTGCTGTCGCCTCACATGCCATACCTGGTATGCACTGTGCTGTGGCCTCAGTGGTTATGGCTGGAGCGACTGGGGGCTGCTGCTGACTGGAGCTCACTTCTGGCTCTGTGTTAACTGAGGGAGAAAGGGCTACCTCACAGGAGGAGACCTGGCTGGGCAGATGGGACAGGAACTCTTCAGAAGCAACTTGCTCATCCTGTCCAGGCAGCTGCAGGGCAGACAAGGGGATACTGATCTGTTTGTTAGGATGGGATGTGCTCACAGGCATTTGCATGGCCACCTGTTGGTTGGCACCATGGCTACCAGGGGGTCCTCTGTTTGGCGAAGCCAGAGATACCCTGGCAGTCTTCTGGACAACTGGTCTGGAGATCACAGAGGGGGATGCAGACATACCGTGTGGGTCTAGCTCTGTGCTGATGGCAGATGTTACATGGGGAATCAGTTTAGCAGACCCTACACAGGAGGGACCGGCATGAGTCTGAGGCTTGGGTTTTGCCATCTGTGTCAAGGACAGGGCTGGTCCATCTACCCCTCCTGTCAGTTCTGCATTTGCCACAATGTAATAATCTTCGGGGATCTCTTGTTTGATTTTCTTAATGATGACATCATTGCTGCATTCATCAACCATCTGCGCCTGGGAGCTTGAATGGAGGGAAGACGGGACTATCCCAGGTCTTTTGCGAGCAATGCTTTGAGGCCTTTGGGTCTGGGGTTCAAAGTCACTATCCTCATCTGTAACAGAGGACTCACAAACCATGTCAAACAGGGTGTTCTCATCTTCATATTCTTCAACAGCTTCATCCAGTTCAGAGGGCTCACTACAATAGGAGAAGTCACAAGAGTCTCTGGTCCGGTTACAGTCTAGCTTTGCTTTCACTGGTCGCCCAGGGTACCTTTCAACAGGGCTAGTCTGTGTCTCAGAGGGCACCCCAATTATGCTGGGACTATCAGAGTTAAAACTTCTGTTATCCTGGAAACAGACCCTCTCTTGGGAACCAGCTCTGCAAGTAGCCGTTAGTGGCCAGTGATAAGCATGGCCAGCACTACAGCCCCACATTGCTGTCAGGTTCCCATGGGAACCTTCAGAGAGCAAGTGTTTCAGGTTTGGAATGAGGCTGCAAATAGTCCCATGGCTGTGGGCCCAGCTGACCAATTTGGACAGATTCTCAGATGAGGTATGAAGACAATCCTCCATGTTACAGGATCAGCAGTGTCTCTCCTAAAGGGAAATAATCAAAAGAAGAAGCCATTATTACCTGAGATATTCCTATGGCTCAATTACTTCAATCTGTCCCAAATATGATCATTTGGCATAAAAAGAAATGCATCTCAAAACTGAATCTAGTCAGTGTCACTGCGGATGAGCAGGGACTGGAAGAGAATACCAGGAAAAGTAAAAACAGCTGATGACTTATGGTTGTGGGATTTGGAAAAAAATGAGTTTCCTGTATTGTTATAATTCCTGCCTAAGGTAAAAAAAGAAAGAGAAAGAAAAAGAGAAACGAGCAATAAAAAGAGCTTTTCCATGGTACATTTTATTTCCAAAGTCACTGACAAGAGAGGTTCAGATGGCCCCTCAATAACAACATTGTGTCTATTACTTGCATTAACCAAGAGCATGCAGCTCCAATGTCACCCTTTGTCATCAGAAACTTCATTACTAGAAGCAGAGCCAAGAACGGAGGTTTGGACCCATCCTGGGATGGATATCAGAGAAAGGAAGCCAGTCCTGGCTGGGCACCAGAAGACAATGCAACTGGGAGTCCAAGGAGGGAATGAGGGACTCGATTTGAAAAGTGGGGAAGTCTTCAGCAGAGAAGGGAGAGTAGACTGGGAGGAGACCTGCTGGATGGGGCAGTCTGTAGACCAAAGCAGCCAGCACAGGGAAGTGGGAGGCCCTGCTCTAACCACTCTCAGGAGGAGGCTTCCTGTCTCCTGGCTATCTACAATTCCTGAAATATGGCCTTTCATTTACCATCAGAGGTTACAAAGGAGGTCTGGTGTTTTCCACCATCTGAGGGTCTCATAAAGCCAAGGATAACCAACTACCAAATAAAAGCAAATCATTCCTTACTAGGCAGGAGACAAAAAGAAGCCTTTGTTAGTCACTGACGAGGGAGGACAACACGATGGGTAAGAAAGTGAAAGGGGACATGTGGAGTCTGCAAGGGGCTGGCAAGGTTAGTAAGGCTCTGCCAAGAGGGGCTCCTGGGAGCACTGGGCAGGGAGGCACAGGAATCTTTATGTGTGACTCAGTCAGCCCTGGCTATCTGCAGCTGTGGGTGACAAGACATGCCTCGCTGGTGCTCTGCACTCAGGCACCACAGTCTAACCACAACGATACCTGAGCCTCCATTCCCTGGTCTGACTCCATGGCTCCCGGTCAGGGAGGTTAGGTAAGTTCAAATCCTTTAACATACTATTAAGATCTCTGTTGATGTGGCCACAGCCACCTCTCAAGCCTCATTTCCTATGACCATGGCCTCTTCCCATACTTCTTGTGGTCCTCTCTTCTCTAAACTCCCTACTGGTGAGAGACTCATTCTTTCATTTGATACGCTGCCCTTCTCTTTCCTCACCTGGCCAGCCCCTTCAAAACTGAACCTGGGGCCACCTCCTACCGGCATCTTTCCAGACCCTCTTTCTGCCTAAGAGATTTATTTAGCTCCCTTTCACCCATGCCTGTACCCTCTCAAGAGATATGCCTTTGCTATACTATTCTCATTGACTTGCTTGTCTGTCTCTCCGACTTGACTAAGGATTTCCTGAAGGCAGAAACTATGACTTAATTATTCACTCATCAGTGAGGACCTACTTGGGGATATGGAAATCCATAAGGCATGCTCCTGTTCTTGAGACATTATAACCTATTGTCTAGTATGCAGTCATTGCCGAATAACTGAATAAAGAATGAATGAATGTTCATAAGCTGCCAGCACCATCAATACTTACAAAGTGAATGTACAAGACTTCCAAGTAGGAAACAGAAAATTTCCTCGGATCTCTTTTATTGTAACCATTCAAGGGATTAGAGGGTTTTCTCCCCTAGTGTAACCAAAACCCAGCTGCCTTGTATATGTAGAAGAGTGACAGATAAGCAACCAGAGTTCATGAAGCAGCAAAGTGAAGGGAAAGAACAGTGACTGGTGTGGGAGTCAGGAACGCCAAATCCCAAGCCTGGAACCGCTGCCTGTGGTCTCAAACAAGGCACTAATTACCTTTAAGCCTAAAATGCCAGGACTACATGATTTTACACTTCCTTCATATTCTAGAAATTCAGACTTATTTCATTTATATTCCTTTCATATAACTTCGGTTAAAGTAGATATGCCAAAAAAAAAAAAAAAAAAAAAAAAAAAAGACAAAGACTTGTTCTGAACTTTTATTTTATTTTTATTTTTGTAGAGACAGGGGTTTCCCTATATTGCTCAAGCTGTTCTTAAACTGGGCTCAAGCAATTCTCCTCCTGTCTCAGCCTCCCAAAGCTCAGGGTTTACAGGCATGAGCTACTTACTGCACCCCAGCCTGTTTTAAACTTAACATCGCTAGTATTTAATTGGTGAGGCAGAGACTGCTATTTTGCCTACCCAGTGTCCATTCTCTTAGTCCTCACAGACAGTACCAATTTGTTGAGGCAGCAATGTGCTCACAAAAATATTTTCCCAGCTTCCTCTGGAGCAAGGGTGGCCCTATGACACAGGCATGGCCAAGGACATGTAAATGGAAGGGTTTGGATCATAATCCTGAAAGACAAAATCCCGAATGTCATAGTCCCAAATGTTGAAATCATGAAAGATCAAAATCCCTAAAGTCTAAAATCCCAAAAATCACAATCATAGGATAGCTACATCATGTTAGGTGGAACTATTACCTTGTTATTGTCTTTATTTGGAAATTAAATATGGTTTAAGGAGATACATATGAGTGATAGACTGACATGGGGTGGATTTAAATTCAGGCGTCAATTTGACTGGATCAAGACTTAGAAACCTAGTAAAGCACCATCTAGGGGAATGTCTGTAAGGGTGTTTCCAGGAGAGATTAGTGTGTGAGTCTCAGTGGATTACATGAAGATCTTGCCTGAATGTTGGCGGCACCATCCAATCAGCTGGGGCCCCAGAGAGAATAAATACAGAAGGTGAATTGTTCTCTCTCTGAGAGCTAGCACAGGCTTCTCTTTTGCTGCCTTGGACATCAGAACTGGAGGCCTACAGCCTTTGGACTCTGGGACTTATGCCAGCAGTTCCAAGGTCCTGGCCTTTCAGCCTCAGACTGAGAGTCACATCATCGCCTTCCCTGGTTCTGAGGCCTCTGGATTTGGACTGAACCACTACACCAGCATCCCAGGGTCTCCAGCTAGCAGACAGCCTGTTGTAAGACTTCTCAGCCCCATAATCACATGAGTCAATTCCCCTAATAAATCCCCTCTCATGTTTATATGCATATCCTATTAGTTCGGTCTCTCTGGAGAATCTTGACTAATACAGATTTGGTACAGACAAAGCCAAGTGTCATTCCTTCTTGCTGTATTCCTTACAACACAATAGAAGAGACTGAAATGTTCTCTTGCAAAAGAGCTGTGATAAGTTAACTATATAAGGTTACTAAATGGTGAAATAGAAAACTTTAAAAGCTAATTATTACTGGTGCTGCCCAAGCAGAAAATCGCTTAATTGCAGCAGCTAAGCAATAGGCAGACTTACACATGGATAGCATACACTTATAAAATTTGTAGACCATAACCACGTTCCAAACACAAGTGCAGGAAGTGTTTCAAAGATCACAGAAGCGAAAACACAGGCAAAAAGTACAAGAAATCTCCCCTGCCAAATTATTCAATTGTGTATGACTTCTGCCCCTTCACATACAGCACTATGCTTCCATTCAAAAAACACCCTTCAGCAGAGAATAAAAAGAATTCAATAAGCTCAGTGATCTTCTGAACCAAACATACTTGTTGATACTGAAGTTCCTTCAGTGTTTAAAAAAAAAACAATAAATGGTGAACTATTCATGATCAGTGATTTGACTGTCAAGACAGATTTCTTATATTTACCACTAAATCTAACATAGACGAACTGGCACATGCTTCGCTTTAGCTAATGAATTTCAAAATCGTTCCCACTGTTTATCAACTACATATAATTCATGTCCCTGTTAGATGTGAAAATTCTAGAACTTATCCACTCAATTATGTATTAATGACTAGAAAAAGTAAAGCACTTAATAAATGTTTATTTGGGCCAGGTGCAGTGGCTTACACCTGTAATCCCAAACTTTGGGAGGCTGAGGTGGGCAGATCACTTGAGGTCAGGAATTCAAGACCAGCCAGGCCAACATGATGAAACTCCATCTCTACTAAAGACGCAAAAAAATTAGCCAGGCACGGAGGCACCTGCCTGTGATCCCAGCTCCTCGGGAGGCTGAGGCGGGAAAATCATTTCAACTCGGGTGGAGGTTGCAGTGAGCCAGATCATGCCATTGCACTCCAGCCTAGACAACAAGAGCGAAACTTGTCTCAAAAAAAAAAACCACATTTTTTGAAAAGTGAATTTCAAAGTTTGTATTTCCTATTCAGCCTAATGCATTTGGCAGGAAATTCAGATGAGTGGATTGGCTACAATGATACAAACTTCAGTTAAAGGGATCATTTGCCTACACTGGCATTCTTTTCAGCAGATGACATTCTAGAAGCTTTTAATGAATTAAAGCCACATTGCCTGAAGAAGCCAGCAAAGTAATGACTAGTTCAAAAATACTTAGGTGCACAGTAGGATAAGAAGACATTTAATGTAATGGTGTTGCTGTTCCATCACTAGTACTGCTTCTGCCAAATTTGTGGTCTGTGTATGAGTATATGCAGAATGGATTTCCATCTACCCACAACTCAGAAGCATGGGGAAATTTAATAGGCAATGCTCATATTGTATACCGAATCACAGAAGAATTCCAAAAAGAACAGTAACACATATAGAAGGAACGGAAACATATTCTCCATGGACAGCCATGTCCTAAAAGAAAAAAAGAAGCTATTTATCAACATACAAGACTTCAAAATATAGTTAATGATCATGAAAGTCAGCCAGCTCTTACAGACTACCTCCACGCAACTGCCATAATATATCCTTGTAACACACTTTTTTTTTTTTTAGTTTTCCTACTCTTAAATTGGCAGCCCTATTTTTTTTTTCTTTTTTTAGAGACAGGGTCTTGCTCTGT